TTTACGCGAGCCTTAAAAGTTGTTTTAAGGCTCTTAAAATCGATTTTAAGATCGCGTAAACACCCTAAATTGAATTTTGCTTAAAAGCACTTTTAGCTTACTAAAAGTAGTTTAACATCACTTTTAGTAAGAAATGTCACTTTTACGCTTTGCGTAAACACCTTAAAAGCAGTTTAAGGTTTGAATTGTCAGCTGTTAACAGTGAATAGGTGCAAATAATTTGAATTTTATTACAAATAACACTAACTAAAAATATGGAGAAAAGGAAAATAAAAAGAAAAAATTGGATGAAAGAGGAGAAAGAATGCTTAATTAAAATATTTGCAGAAAAACAAATAATTAAATTGTTATTTTTTATTCTCTATTTGAAAATCTTTTTATTTTTTATTCTCTATTTGAAAAAATATTTCAATTTAATATTAAATTTATTATTTTCAATTATTTAAATTTATTATTAAGCTTAAATTGTTATAAATATATTATATTATATATATTATATTGTTAGTTATAAATAAACGTATAAATTAATTAATTAAAAATTGGTTTTTCTACATTATTTTTTTAATTGCTTCTATGTAGAAGCAATTAAATCCTGTCAAGCGACCAAATGTTTGCTCCACAACAATTCGTGCTTGATTCAAATATAAGTTGAAGGATGTCCTTCAACAGTTAACTCGTCCCTATAATTTTTCATAATCCAGTTACAAAGCGGAAAAGCTGCATCACCAATAATATAATAAGGAAGTTTAAAAAGCATAGCTTCATTTGAGGCGTTGTAAATTCCGTCGATTTCGCTATGGCTTTTAGGAATTAATTGTGGTTTTTGTGTAGAGAACTGCCCCTAAGCACTGATGCATCGTGTGCACAGCCATGATTTTGTTTTGTGATATTTTTAAATAAATATTGATCATCCACAATAGCTTGCACTGCAATGGAACTATAACCCTTTCTGTTACGAAAGTCTGTAGCACCGTCTTGTAGGGATTTAATTGGTACATGAGTGCCGTCTATAACACCAATAATATTTGGCAGTTTAAATTTTTGTTCAAATCTCGAGGCTATGCGTTCACATTCTGATGCATTTGGCCAGGATAATAATTTTGCCGACTTGATTTTCAATTAAAACTTTACAGAAACTGTGAACACATAAGCAAACAGTACTTTTTGATACTCCAAATCCCTTTGCAATTACACAGTATTCAGCACAAGAGGCAAGTTTGTAAACTGCAATAGCTATTTTCTTTTGAACAGACAACCCTTCAAAGAAAGTATTTTCTGTTGGTGCCATTTTATCCTTAAGCAAATCTACAAGCCTGAAAAATATTTGTCGATTCATTCGAAAATCAGCAATCCATTGTTCATCGTCATAGAACTGCAGAACTTCAACATCCCACCATTCCGAACTTCTCTTCCTTTTGCTAAAAGTTCTTATTCGTGGTGGAAGCTAAAAACAAAAATGCATTCTAAATATTTTATGAAAAACTTTATAAAAACATTTACATTCATTAAAGCCTCATTAGCAGAACGTATTGCCATTTTATTAAAGAGCTGCAATCGCATTTCTCGTAATTTTGTAAATTTTTTACGGAATGATTTTAAAATCAGCATTGTTGCTTTATTATTATTTTCTACAATTTTGGTTATAATATCTTTTTTTTGCAATAAAAGTAAAACAATTTGTAGTTTTACCATATTCATTTTTAAAATGTTTAAAATCAACATTTATGTTTGCTGTTAAACAGCTGATTGATTGACAGTTACCTTAAAAGTGCTTTTAATTCTTGTGCGTAAACGCTCTAAGAACAAATTTTAAAATCAGTTTTAAAAGTGATTTTAAGACTCGCGTAAACG